TCCCTCAGAGTTTCTTTCACATAGAGTGCCTCCTGTTGCCAACCATATACTTCTGTTTTCCAGTCTGTCACCAATTCTTCAGTGGTCCAAGTGGCATATGTAGTTGTTTTTGTGCTCACATTTACTAGAGATATTCCTACTGAATAAACGTTTTTGAAAACAGCAGTTGGTTTCAGCTTAGCGCCTCTGTAGTGTTCGCACGGAACGGCGACCGTGACGCCGCCTGGACTGATGTTACATACATAATGGTGGACCTATACTCTAAATCTGGGGTACTTTATGAGTACCATTTCGGAAAGACTCGTGTGCTTAAGTTTTCACCATTCCAACGAATTGGAGACTCGATAACCAAAGTTGGACAGGCTGTGCGAGCAATAAAAAGGCCTTAGTCAAAATGCATGCAATATAGCATTCAAATCATTCTCCAGCTTCGGAGGGTAACTCCCACTGGGAAACATTGTGAATTTGTCTGGTGGATTACCGCTACAACGTTGCATCACTGTAAGGAATAGTTTAGGGTAGTTTTTTCTTTTGAAATGTGAAAAAATGGGCAACCTGGACTATCAAACTCTCAGTCACCAGTATCACCCATCAGTTTCCTACAACTCTACAGTTTTTCAGGCATCTGAGTTCTGAGGAGCGGGCAGCTCATGGTTCTAGGCGACACCGAAAAAAACTTCGCAGACTCGGAACGACATTTTTCTTCTCCTATAAAATTTCAGCTCTCTTCGCTACAGCAAGTCCCTATGATTTCTATTTCAAATAAATTGATCTCGTAGTTATCAGAAGAATGCTGATATGGACGAAAGCCTGGCTGCAAAACTTCGTCGTCTTGGTTAACACCTTGATAATACATATGTACAAATAAACAATATTGTGATGAGTTTTGATGACCTTTGGTGCACTCCTTATCTCTGAAACGGAATAGGCGTGGCACTTAACATAGAATGGGTTGGTTTCTCGTGGGATGTTTCTTTTTCAGGCGACTACGATCTTCTTCTGTGTTGGAACAAAGACACGAACACATTGTGTCAAAATAAAATATCTCTCCAAGAGCACAGCCACCGCCACGTTTGGTTGAAGTACGTAGCCACGCCTACCACATATCAGGGATTTTTTATGTAAAAGGGCATACTTCGATGAATGAGCACCAGTCAAAGATCACGACTGTTTAGATAGATCCAATCAAAACCCAAACAAAGCAAAATCTAGCAACGTTTGACGGTCCTGGTGCTGGGAGACGCATAAGAGAATCGTAAATTGCCTGCTTCGTCGCGCGCGGCAATGGGCGCGACGTTTCCTTGATTTGCACTCTTTTGATTGGAGCATCGGATTTCATGTAGACAAGGACATGGTAGACACTTATGTCTATTTTGGTCATACATTGTCTATTCTCGACCAATACCACGTCGTCATCAGCGGGTGCGACGTCGCACGCGACGCTCACTGGCGCGGCGAATTACGATTCTCTTGCCACATAGCCCATACTGCTCTACAGAACTTCTAGGATAGAAAATAGTATACAGGGGGAAGTCACTTCGACCGAGTCACATACCAGCAAAGTTTTTTTATTGTTCCCATGACATCATCACAGTAGCTTACGACCCCTTTTGAACTTTTCCTGTAGGTTGAAATAGTGTTGGATGAGTAGTTTCGAAAATGTCTTCCGGCTTTCCAGGCTCTGAAGACGGCGACGACGCCGAAACGTCAGCCGAATAAAGACTTCTTAACAATCTTGGTATCGAGCTGAATCGATCTCCAGACTGTACGCTTAGGCTTGCGGCTCGCCCCGTTCCCCCTCATGTGATGGCCCGTT